TTCATTAGTTAACATAAACTGCCAATGAAAAATTCTTCTGAACATTCATTAATCTTAGGTAATTACAATATTTAATAACACGTGGCTAAAATCGAAAGTTGCACCTGTGTTATTTAATGAGCTAACATGAACAAAGACTTGTATTTTTTTAAACAAAGATTAATAACTTCTGTAGCAAATGTAGCTATTGCTCATTGTGAATGTTAATGCATTAACTAAGGTTAACTAATGAGGTCTTATTGTAAAGTGATACCTATTGGTCTTTATAGTTCTTTTGCACTTTAATCTGTGTAAAACTTTTAACTTTATACATTTTTCTGTATTGCTTTATTGCATTTAAATGTTCAGTTATTTTTGTTATAAGAAAAAAGTTATTAAACCTGTTATACTGTATTATGACAGCACTTTTTTTAAAACTAAATTGAAACATCGTGATAATACCGCATACCGTGATAAAAGAATTAGCAATTAATCGCAACATGAAAATTTGATACCGGCATATCCCTATTGAATCTTAACCAGCACCATCTTCTGGTGTATATTAGTTGTGTTCTGCAATTTGGTCAACCTTTAGGTTTGGTGAGGAAAGCATGGACAGAGTGATCAGATGGATGGAAGCACACAATCTAACTGAAAATGCGGCCGTACTTGATACTGGAAATGGGATGTTCCTTGTGGAACTGGCAAGTCAAAGTTCAATCTGTGTCTGCATTTAGTTATATTCAATCATTCTGTTAATTTAAATACTTTTTAAAATCACAATAATCAGGGTTTCTGCAGGTCTTTGACCTTACACAAATTAAAGCCTAAAAAGATTTTACATTTGAGCAGAAAGTCTTAAATTCATAAGTCATTAAATGTTTAATTCACTGCTATATATATATGCTATATATATATATATATATATATATATATATATATGTACACATACATACATACATACATATAAATAAATATATGCATAATTTAGTTTTTATTTCTGTGTAAATATCTAAACATTATTAAATCAAGATGCATTTACTTGAGATGCAAATAGAACATATGCAGTCTTGTTTTCTGAGAAATGTAACAAAATTAAGTGAATTTATGTTTAAAACAAGAACAAACCTCTGTCAGGAGGGCATGACTCCCTTTGAATTAAGTTGATTTTTCAACTTGGTTAATGTGTGTTCCTGTTTTAAAAACAAACATCAATTTCTTATAAAAACAAGAATTTTGATGTAAAAAGACTTTTAAAGTTTAAGTAAATGTATCTTGATTTAGGAGATTTGCTCTGGAAAAAAAGGAAAAAAAATCAACAATAAAATACTAATAAAATTTTTCATAAAGTTGTATTTTCATACTTTGAAGCATGAAACATTATTATTATTACCATACTGAAGTATTATGTTATAGTTTATTCAGTTTAATACTCAAATTTTCTTTACTTGATCTTAAAAAGGTTTTAACATTTTGTTAAGTCTTAAAAAGTCTTTACCTTCATAAAACTTGCAGAAACCCGGATGATGTAAATAAGTATAAATAATAATCACATAAACGATCCCTTAAGGCCAAGCATGGTTTTTCAAACCTCACTGGAATTGACTAGCTCACCGTAAATATTCTGGAAGAGGAAGGCTTCAAAATGTTAAAATTCAGGTAATGGAAATGATTTGTTTTTAACATACGTAAATTAAGTAAATAAATTCATTGCACATTTAAAAAGAACACAGAATAAAAGGGAATTTTTATTTGTCTTTGTGTTTTACATGTGACTCCCAAGTGGCAGATTTCCTGAACCCCAGCGCAGAATTGAAGGGTTTTGATGTATGTATAGATAAAGGCACATTTGATGCCATTAGTTTGAGCCCAGAGGACAGAGAGGAGGCAAAAAAGCTCTATGTGAACTCTTTAAAAACGGTAATGCAACCAGGCGGCT